TTTGTATAAACGGGATTTGGATGAACGAAGTTCTACTGTATTTTTCATAATTAAATGCAATCCAATCAATTTCTGAAGGCGAATGTCATTTCTTGTAACGAGAAGTATTTATTAATGTGATTTTGTTCCCTTTTGTTTGGGTAAGGCTGTTGAGATAAATGTCAAGTTGGTATGACCACTAGTTCCTACATGCAAAGTTGGTACGACTACTTGTGATTCTCTTCTGTTTTTCCCTGTTCGCCGCGTTTTTTTATCTGAGTATCCGGTGTGTCGTAAATGGCTGTACAAGGTGGTGAGATTCAGAGCATACAAAACTAATCCGTGTTAAATATCAAACCCCAAATCTATTTAATAACCTCGTCTCCGTTGAAGTAACAACGAGTAACTATTTGTCGTTAGTTGTCTGCTGCATGTTCCAAAACATTTTGAATAAACAACAACTTTTAGAAATATTTGGCCCGCGCTGAAAATAAAGCAACAATATGGCGACATTTTACGGATATATCTACAATAACAACAAAAAAAAAGCTTGTCAACGATTACTCAAACAACCATTCGTTTTCGTCCAAAAATTTTAACCCTAAAACTGTAAAGGTAAGTATTTCGACCGTGTGGAGAATCTTTTGCGAGCTAACAGGTAGAAAATCCTTTCCTGCCAACCTAAAGGAAGTTATTTAGCAAAAATTATGATAACTAACTTCGGTCTAAAATGTTCGAAGATGCGAATATGTGAAATTAATTGGATTTTTTTGACAAGTATTGCTTACCGAAAAATGCACGGATACGAAAGAACCAGTTTGAGGGTACCGCAAAAACGTTTACAGTCTATGAGTTAAGTTATCTGAGTTATCTGAACTATCATGGTGCTGAAAGTAATATCTAACAAACCGACAAAATGTAATATTAAGAGGTAATTCGGCAGAAAAGAGGTCACCTCATTGGTTTCGACGACCTTGAAATATGTTGTCAGGATCTTTATTTTGAGTAATTTTTTCCTATACAAGACACCCTCGCACGATTTTACTTTGCAAGTTAAACACAAAAGTAAGTTAGGTAAAATGTGTCGTATTTGTGGCGTTTGGAATAGATTTGATTTAATTTGAGTTAGGTTTAGATCAGCTTTACTTTAGGGAATTACGATGGCCGGATTGGAAGTGTATCCTAACTTAAACCAAACCCGGTACCCTAAATCGAAATCTAATTAATTAATTATTTTCACAATTAATTAGTCATGTAATTTGTACGTTAAGATGGTAGATGGCTCTATACGTCAAAGTGTTGCGCAATCTTAACCTACGTTTAATCTCCATTTCTCGCCGACATCTGACAAACTAAAACAGAGTAGCGGTAACATGTACAGGAAAAAGGTACTCAAACAACATATTTGAAGCTCATTGAAATGGATGAGGTGACTCTTTCTCTACATCATTACTTATTAAAAACCAGAATTGAAAGTTAGTTTATAAGTGGGAACTTCCATACACGCAAATCTTAGGCAACTCTTACATTAACATAGTTGTGTATATTGTATCGGCTACAAAAGTAAAAATTTTAATAAATGTTGTTTAATCGTAATGTTCAGCAAATGCCATTCACGATAATATAAAGTCATATATCAAAAGCATAATAGAAACCGTCCGAAAATTGAGTCGTGAGAAATCAACATAAGAGATAAGAAAGTTCTCTGCGCATGCGTGATATGTTATGAATGTCTCAGACGGACGCAGGGACACTCTCTCTGCCTATGATCTCTCCCTGCCTTTCAAGAACGAGAACTTCCTTGTCTTCCATGTTGGTTTTTTACGATCCAATTTTCGGACGGTCTCCCCTAGCGAGTGTCCAGATCTGATGTTTATGTGCCTGTATTTTCATCCGATTACGGAACTAAGCAACTAAATAACTGCTAGGGACCTCAGTGTATTGCTGAAATATAGTTATATCGTTAGTAGCTATGGTAGTCGATGCGATTTTGAATATAGCAAAGAAGGTAACAAACAAAAAGCTTATTTCAGCGCAGTCTCTGGTGGTTCAGAATCCGCTTAAAGAATGTAGTCTACCAAAGACAGAGATAAGAAATAAGAAACGGGATAAAAAGATAAATAGGCCGAAATGGCAAGAAAAGAAACACAAAGAAAAAAGCACTGCGAAGAAACATTTTCGTTGGGCAATATAGAAAGTAGGTTAGCTCTTGTAAGCGACATTTCCTGAGAAAAAAATTCTAAGAGAAAATCTTGAAACTGAAACTAAACCAAACTAAATCATAAAATGTTGCTCGATGTTGCTGTCAGTGGAGACGTAGCTTAAAATATTTGTAGCGTAAGTTGATTTCCTACGATCTTTTTGAAATTTCGACGATACATTATTTAGTATATTATCTATACGTGATCCAATTTTTGGAGAGCCAGGCCTTGCCAAAGTGGAAATATTTATCTTCAAAGTTAAAAGTTTCTACAGTAAGCCGCTGCAAAGACGAGTTTCGCTAATTTCGAAAAAAACATTCTTACAAAGTCGTTGAACGTTTAATGTATTATGTAAAATTGCTAGAATAATATTTGTTTGATGAAAAATTAGCTCCGATCCTTTTTTGAATAAAAGTAGTGTCAAATATGTAATATTGGAAATTTCGGTGTCTCAATTGCCGAATATTATAATATCACTGCTTGGCATTGATAGTGGCACAATTAAAAAAAACGTAAATTTCAGAGAAAAGGCCTTTTAAAATTTTCAAAGAATCCTTCGTGTAGACTCCATCGCCATGAACAATAATTTTGCCATCTGATGCAAAACTAATGGAACTATAAATATTACATAAAAAAAATAGTAACATAATATAGCCTTTCCATCCACCAAATTTGATATTTTTTAAATTACGCCATTATCAGTGCCAAGATACTATCGATACCAGTTTCTGAATCGTTTATTATTGCGCGTAGAAAATACAGACAGTCAAGGAATTTTTTTCTAGAGGGAGAATCTCAGCTATGCGTAATATAATTTTTAAGTGTCAGTATATTTTACTTTTAAGACATATCTATAAGCTATAAATACCTTAGGACACGTACGTCTGACGCGGGCACAATATTTGGAAGGGAGACATAGGGAAATTGAAGCATGGCTTTTCATAGTATCGGTACAAATGCGCCTAATACTTATAGAAAATCTTTTAATTTTAATTTGCAGTTAGTTTTTTGGCAGTACTATATGTACTATATGTATGGATTTTGTTAATACCACCTAATCCGCATATACTTAGTTACCAACCCAATATATAGTACGTAGATCTACGCCTATTAGGTCGTATGATCAGGGTTACCAGATGATTCTCTTTTGGCGATATAATGTCGCATTATACCACTGCCACTCTACAGTTAGTCGCTTGTGTGCGGGATATGAATTTCGTCTTACGTTTCTCCGCGTCGCTTCGACAATGTTGTCTCCCACATTCATTTGTCTGCAGTATAAATCAAAACGTCACTGGTCCACTAAGTATACTACTTTCGACATTACCTAAGAAATCTTCTCCTTTAATTCTCTCGATCTGCCCTAACCTTCCCTAACATTGCGTAAGTTACACCGTTGGAAACCTTACGAGTTTTTTTTTATTATTTAATTTATACTTTACAATTTGTCTAGCTGGACATTTGGTAAATTTTTCTAACTTAGACCTTACGAGTGAGAGGGTTGAACAAGGGTAATCACGGCTACCACAAACGTTCCATTTAGAAAATATAGGTTAGTTTACGATACGGTTAGAAAACGTATTCTTCTCGCAAAAAGTTTATTTCACTGAAGTATATTCGTCATTACGTGCATTTAGCCGTGAATTGATACCTTTCAATACTTTTCTAGGCACGAGTTGTAAACTTTTAACGCAATCTCGCCACTGAAATTCGAGAAAGATCGTGCCGCACGCGACTGAAAATTACGTTTGTTGTGACAAACAATTGTCGATCATACATGCTTCGCTGTGTGTTAGATGCTTCGAGTTGATAAATATCGTCGGTTTTCGTGTCGATTGACGTTACTACAAAATTGCTGTAGTATCGTTGTGTATAGAATTACGTTAGCAGATTAAATTAGGTTTTAGGTTATGTAATCTAATCTATACATATTTTCTGGGTGGGACATTTGCTGTAGCTGTGACCACCCGTGCTCTACTCATAAGTTTTCCAACTGTGTATCATACGAACCAACAGGTATGAGCAGTATCACATAAACAGCTCGCGATAGTTCATATACTGAATCCTAGGGAAAACCATCTGGAAATTGAGTCGTGACTAGTGAGAAATCGACATGCGAGGCAAGAAGATTCTCGTTCTACGCATGCGTGACACGCTATGAATATCTCAGACAGAGATGAAGACGCTCTACTCATTTCCGTCTGTTTCGCAAGAAGGCGGGCTTTGTTGATCTTCCATGTTGATTTTTCGCGACTAGACACGATTTAATTTTCGGACGATTTTTCCTAGCGAGAGTCGAGGCTTGTTTTACATGAAGTAAATAACGTATCGTAAAGTATACACAAGTATACGTAAAGTATAACGTAGGCGTGGGTGTTAATGTACCATATTGCAGCCAATTTTTTTTCGACGTAAGCAGATGACGCAAATCTGAAAAGTCTTAAAATATTAAAATATAAACTCGCGTGCAATAGAATTAAATTTTGTTTATTCCATATTTACTGTATTTCTTAATCGCTATTTTAACAAATCCTTTACACTGCTTTAATCCTTAACACTTTGATGGCCGCACATTTTAGCGTAGATGCTACTGTCAATTGCCGGCACTTCTCACCGATTTTGTCTATTATCGTACAATTATGATACACTATTTGAGAAATTTGCATTGAATCCATCATCATTATTTCTTAATCATTAGAGTCTTTATCATATTATCTCGCTTTATTTCGTACACTTATGGATTATATGAATTTATTTATTTATTTCCTAATTGTCTCATGCAGTTGCAGAAATCGGGATTACAATTATTTTCTGACCATTCGCTTCAACTGTACCATCAGATCCAATAATTGCCGATCGTTTCAGCGTATCTGTAAATCGTTTCACTACAATACGAGGTAATTACGAAGAGGTAATCACCGAACACAGCAATCATCTGTCTCGCGCATAAGTAAAGCGACTAAACTAAAAGAAAGAGAAAAATGTGTTAACACATTGAACGCCACGTGAGTTACATTCAACTCGCACCGTGTTTGGCCAAGAGACTGTATGAGTTGAGTGTAAGTCCAACTCTGGTCTACGAACCCCACGATCTGCGAGTTGGATACGCCTGACATCTATGAATCGTATAATGTAAGTGCACATATTTATCGAACATTTGCTGAAGATTGCTTAATTCTTTCTCAAGACTAGTGGATCCTTTCGCCACGATAAAACGTAGAAGAATCTTGAAAATAATATAAACTGATTTTTTCATGCTTAGACAGAAAGCAAAGCTCGTACGTGTTAGTCTGACGATACAAACCTTTCGACTGAATTTTGTTTCACTCTCCACAAGGTCAATTATGGCGTCCCCTGTTCTCTCCGTACATTGTATAGGAGGTAACGGCAGATAGGCAATTTCAAAGAAACTGCTGTTTATACGTCGTATGGTTTACGTATACTATGTAAAAGCATAGTTTTTTCACGTGTCGCTGATGTCCATGGCAACAGGTTGTAATGCGACGATGGTGATTCGAGGTATCTTTGAAATGTGAGCCGATGCAAAAAACGTTGGTTAACTGCAGTTGTGGTGCAGACACCGGTTATATGGACTGGACATCTCGTGAGTTTTGTGTAACTCACGGATGCAAATGAAGAAGAAAAAAAAATAAAATAAAATGATCTATATTTAAATATTCTGGAAAATTTAGATTCCGAGGAATTTAATGGATTTTCAAGAGAAACCAAGAATAGAAATATGTGCGTTCTACCTTGGCGTTCGATATGTTAAAAGCTATCGTCATAAGAGGCACGTTTATGTCATGGGTGAGGCTCTAGGTCAATGTATTTTTGTTATTTCAGTAATTGATAGAGTCACACAAATGAAATTACATGTTTTATTATTATTCAGCATCATGAAAAACATTGAAAAGTTGCAGATTGTGATAACAAAAAATAACATCACAATGGTGTTGTTAGGGGAGAATGACATTGTGTTGAAACACAATGTGCATGAAGTGAAATTTTGTTCATAATATTCTTTAACGATTAATAAATGGTATGATAATAATGATATTGTAGGGACTAGGAAATGATATAAATTTGTAGAAAAACAAGTTAATTTTCTGTGAAAATTTGGTATTGTAATTGTTTTAACCTGTAATTGAAGTATATAGATGATAAATGGTGATTAATATCAATTTTTTACTTCAGAATTAACGTTACTTACTACCTTTCATTATATATAGCTAGCCTGTGGTAACAATGTTTTTCTACCTTTTATTGCAACTCAATTCTTTTGCCAAGTGCTCAAATGTCCAACGTCCTACGATAGACACATAACTCTCTCACTAATCTGCCTTCTAACACGCTATTCATATTCTCCTACCATTTGTCATTTCCTATCGTGTTCCACACCCAAATCTCTGTCCCCTAATAAGCTATTCATATTCTCCTTCCATTTGTCATTTCCTATCATGTTCCGCACCTAAATCCTGCCTCCACATCCTCTTTGCACACTTTCCTCCCCTGCATTCCATTGCAGACCCAACACACGATATAACTTAACCGTGACATTTCACAAATTATTTATGGATCCCGTATCTTTTCTACTGCTGAATCAAATAAATTTGTTAACATGTTGGGCTGGGTTGAATTACATTCTGCTCGTGCCTCGGGCCACCTAAATCCCTTGATGTCATAACCCCTTTGAAAAAAAAGAGGGCACACATTCGCCGTCGCTTTCATCGTTATTTTTTTCTCTTAACACGATGACGCAAAATATTCGGCTAATTGTGCGCGAAAGAAGGTCTCATTTTCGATTTTATTGAATTTTTTATTGAATTTTTTATTGAATACGTTGCAGAGGGGATGGTCTTGAGTAGTATTCACTTTGTTCGAGGCGTAGGACGAGCGTGATTCAAAAGTTAAGTTACCAACCTCCAAGAAATCTAACCTAACCTAACTATATCTTACCAATATTAGGATCGTTATTTTACGCAAATGCATATGGAATTTCATTTGTAACAACTTATATTGCAGTAAATGTAGTATGACAATTACTATTTTCTTTTTGTCATAAGTTTTGTTATCGTTCCACCAGAGTGTATTTTCCTCGAAACTTGCTTGAGACCTATTGTTTCTACGATATGGACTGATTGTATTTATTTTGTAACAATACCTTCCTAAATAATGAATACTGACAAAAAGTGTAAAATGCAGGTCGACTTATTTTTGTCCTAGACTCGTCAGGAAGAATTTTATCAAAATCGATGACCCAACGACTGTGATCTTTCCTTGTAAGATATATCAAAATATGTACAAAACAATGACAAACACAATGAGAGTGAGCCTGCAGTGAACCGTACTGAAGTGTGAACAGAATCCCATTATGACGTTTCTTCCAGGATTAATATCCTTTAATCGTCAATATCTATCTATGTTGTTCTCAATGTATCATCGATGTCATCAACCCTGTCCATATGCGAATCAAATATAATAAATGTACAAAATTGTTTAGAATACGTTGATTACTACTATATATCAATTTGTTATTATGTATAGGTCTAAAATTATGATATATTATATTGTTATTTTTATCTTGGATAAGGCCAATGCTATCTACGTAAATAAATGATTAAGATAACCTAACTTCCTGGTTTTCTCAAAATACTCCGGCTGAAGGTAAATTATAGATTTAATTAAATCATTAATTTGTACTGATCTGCTCGATGCCCAACAATTATAAGCCCAATTATAAGCTTTAAAACAGACAAATGACTTTTCTGTATTTTGGCTACATTATACAGAAGAAACGAATTAATGTATTTCTTTTAATTACACGAAGTTAATCTAGATAATGCAGTACGATGACGTAAATATTTGTGCTCAAATAAACGCCAACTTTCCATCTGACTTGTAAAGCTTCAGCTTTGACTGAGCTGATGTAACATTTTAAAATTTTTATCTTCCTATTGTGTTCAACAGAAAACCCTCGAACGCACGAAGAAAAAATATTCAGAAAATTCAAATGCTACTGTAATAGGAGTATTTCAAATTTCTGAGCGATAACGATCGCATTACAACGAAAATGTAGCGATCTAATTGATGTATCTTATGAAACAAACTTGGAAGATTTACGGATATTGTTCAACAACGATGCTCATAAAAGCAAAGTATCATTGCAAAAGCACAATAAATGTGCTTATATCGTATAACTGTAAGAAGGTATTGTATACGTTATGTTGACGAATTTTCTTAAAAAACTGGATGAAAATGTTTCGATACTTCCTTTAATAAAAATGTCTTAATTTTTATTTTCTAAACAGTAAGAAATGTATTAGGTTGTCGCAAAAGCTTCTTTCGTTTCATAAGGAAATAATCGACGCAATAAAAATTTTGATATAGATAATAATATCCTCTTTATTCGTCGTGAAATATTGTTATTTCTGTATTCAGAGATAGGATCATATTAGCTATTATTTTATTCTTTGGATAAATCTATCACACCGTTCTGAGTCAACTAACCTTTATTGTACTTTCTTACATGGACTAGGGATAAAAACAAAAGAACATCTTAAACCTATCGATTGTATCTACAACTATCTTCTAGTTATTTTTTCTTGTAACTAACGCATCTGCATATAGATGGCGAGCACGAACTCACGTTGTCATTTTCAACAAATATCATTTTTTATATCCACTGACCAATTGTTAACATTTTCTTTTAAAAATACGTAAAATTGAATATTTAATAAATAATATGTTAAAAGAGATGTAAAATATCCAGAACAAAGTAGTAAGATATATGTATAATAGACAACATTTTTTGTTTCATATTGTTTTATTCAATCACGTATGATCCATTTTGTTCTACTACTACAAAACACATAATTCAATACAATAGTTATATTTCAATGTAATAGAACAAAATGGATCATAAATAATTCAATAAAATAGTATAAAACAAGAAACATTGTGCATCTATTATTTCCTTATAAAGAAAAGAAGCTTTTGGAGTAACCTAATATTTCAAACATTATTTTCTAATAGGTTTCAAAATAAGAAATAATAGCTTTCAATCATGCTAAGAACAAGATACGCACAAAAGTTTTACTTTTAGAATTTTTTGGCAATAAGACGCGGACCGTAGTTTTTGCCTCGTTTCTTATTTCCCGGCCGATTAGCTCGCCGCGTCTGTTTTTCTAACACTTAAAAGTCAACGGTCTCGTTCGGTAATTTTCGGCACTGCTGGCGCCTGTGCGCCGGCCCGATCGGCAAACTTCGGACCGTCATACTTCATCGACAGGTCATCGACTTATCAAAGCGAGAAACGGTGGATGGTAATCGTTTACATTTTCACGTCAACCGTTGACTTTTTGTCTTCTAACCACCCAAACGGTTTAGACTTCTGCGTGTTTCCAAAAATACAAAGGAACCAATGGCAGAAGAACACGCAGAGGTATAAATCAATGAGCCGCGGCTCGTCAGGATGTCAGTAAGTGCACGTGCAATATCAACAACCTGCGTCTACTTATTTCGTCCATCTACTCAACCTAATTCTCACAGTCGCCACTGCGTGTCGTGCTCTACTCACCGCTGCTGTTCGTACCACGTTGAGTTTCTAATAATGTTAACCAGTTAGCTGTTTTTGACGCTTATACTCGTAATGGAGAAATGGCATATTTTCTGTTATAATGAGCCCTGTCATTAATAAAATAAAAAAATAAAATGGTCATTTTACTGCAACTTAATTCTATATTACAACAGCCATATAACATATTCTGTGTTTGACGAGTATATTCGTCATCGCTTACTTTCTGCGTCACATTTTAGGATTACACGCTTTTCAAAGTTTCCAAAGAAGCCGCAATAGCTAACTGGTAAACAATTTACGATAATATTTTGTGCGAAAATTTAGTTAAATACTATATATAAAAATGATTAATTTATTATTTTGTTTGTATTATCTTATTACTTTGCTCGGAATATTTTACATCATTTTGAACGTATCATTTATGAAATATTTTTAGTTTACATATTTTTAAAAGAGAATGTTAACGATTGTTCTTACGTTTTAGTCAATTGACAACATGACGGGAAGACTACGTATTTTCTTTCATTTTTTTAAGGCCGGTGGATATAAAAAGGATATTTCACAATGTGTGAAGAAGATTTAACGGATCCCATTGCACCTGAGTACTCATATGTTTTCGACTTCGAAAAAAACTACTCTTATGGAGACACTCAAGAATGGTTATTGGACAATATAGTGTACTGCATCTGCTACGTTGTCTTTTACGTCACCGTAATTATTGTCGGGATTTCTCACATGTTAGAACATCCAAAGTACAATTTGAAACGTTCACGTGCATTATGGTATGGATTGATGGCACTGCTCTCCATTATCGGATTTAGTAGAACAGCACCGGAGCTGCTCTTTGCATTGCTCCATCATAGCTTTTACCATAGTATTTGCTTACCTAGGTAATGCCACTTTCATATTTTACCTTTTAATATATTTCCGGATGAATGACGACTTGAAAAATAATTATTAACGAAACATTATTATATGAGACAGTTTCTTATGCTCGGTATTTAGAGAACATTGATATGTGAAAAGCGCTGGTCAAACAAGAAATACATTTCTAACACATGTTCATAGTACTATTATCAAAATAGTTCTATAAATTTGTTTCTCAAATGAGCTTTATCTTATTAATTGGTATAATCAATTATACTCACCAATTTGCAGCATATCGATTTATACAGTGTACCTACATCGTATAGTAATTTTCCAAATCAAAATAGTACAATTCCTATTGTTTCATTATAATACGTTACTTTAATTTACACGCGATAATCAAGAAACGAGCCGATATTTCAAATATGTCTATTAATTATGTATAATAAGAAGAGAATTATTTTCTTTTCAGTAACTATTACCAAAATCCTGTTTCTGGCTTTTGGTCACTGGCACTTGTCATATTGAAATTTGTACAAATGTTCGATACGATGTTCGTCGTGTTACAAAAACAAGAAATGACATTTCTGCATGTCTACCGTCATTTATCTATTATTATTTACTTCTATTTCACATACACGGAGACTACAGCAGCCATGAGATGGTTCAGCGTAATGGAGTACTTTATTAATTTTTGCATATATTCTTATTATGCTGTGGAATCAATGGAGTACAAACTACCACTATGTCTTATTATCACGTGCCGTGTGATGCAAATACTACAAATGATGACTGGTTACATTCTAACTATTATCGCTTATAATCAGCGAGATATCCATAAGCTTAACTGTTATATTACGCATGAAAGTACAGCAATTGGTTCCATCTATTACATCGCCACTGCTTGCTTCTATGCTAAATATTTCTACTCGACTTACATATCCAGGAAACAGAAAAAGAGAGGTAGAAAGACTAAGTGAAAAGTGTATCAAAGTTTTTTCTTTTTCTTTTATATTTCAAATCTTTTTCTACGAGCACTTCTTAAATAGCATTTCGTGGAAGCATTTCTAACGTATTTCAAGAGTCTTTATTAGTTCAGAATGATAGAAATTTTGTTTTTGTTGTGCGATAAAATGAAAGTGATAAGGATTATTTAATTACTATAAAAGAATTAACGTATTTGATGTTACGATATGGAATGTGAAGACTTTAAAGACAGTTGCTTAATGCGTATCTTCAAAATAATTTTAGGAAACATATTAGTCAGAAAAAAAGATTGTTACTTAGTATCTTTTCCTTGCAATATATCCGAAGGTCAAGGTCATTGCAGTCGAAGACTCCCTCTTTGCATAATTACTAATATGGCTAACGATATTGGAATTTTACATTTTTTCCACATAATATATTAATAGATTTAAACATCGACGTTTCTTTAAAGCTAATTTACAAATATCGCTATTATACCACATAGCTTAAATATGTCTTCAATTCCACTGAAACTTTTTTCTACTTCTCGAAATACCTGAAGAACTTTCAGCTGCATGTTTTCAGTTTAGTTTTTCTGGTTATATCTAATATATTTTTATTTCATTTTTATTCTATAATATTCCTTCGATATCTGCAACTTTTACAGAACTCCTTCTACACTTTTTTCTCAATTTTTTACATCATCTCTTGTTTCCTCTCGACGCTTAATAAAATACGTTTCGTCTTTGATGCCATTATATACGAGATCTTGGTGCGTACAATATGAATTTCGTATTAAATTAATAAGAAAGATATGAAATTGTAGGAAGGCTGTGTAATAGCAATGAATACAAGCAAGAAATATTGTACAACTAACAGAACATCTGAATACTGGAATGTTCAGGTAGTAGAGGGACCAAATTTTTTCACATGATTCTTTTTGCATCTTTGCTCCAACACGATGAAATCAAACAACAACAACGTAGAATGAGACAAAGTGTAAAATTCAAGGTCGATTTTTCTGTAAGTCTTTTTTCACAAAACTTCATCGAACCGGACCTGTAAAATTATTATATAAACAAATGCAAAGTGCACGTATAGATTTAATAATTTTCATATGTAATCATTTTTATATAAAACAATTTTTATATATCTTATGCGTCAAATGTGTTACACCTATCTCCTTGTACACCTTGTGTATAAAATATGTGTGTCCTTCATCGCAACAAATCGAACGAAAAAATCGAATTGATTTGATCGTTTCAACGCGGAGTTTATTTATCCGAATATGCATTTAGCCTAGTACGCTGTTTGGTCCAATTTCGATAATGGTAGGAAATGAACATGAATTCAAAGATTCTTACCACTTTCTTTTGCAAATAATCGTTTATTAAAAACCTTACCAAGAAATGGTAAATTACAAGACGAAAATAAAATGTTTTCTTCGAAAGATTTAAGCGAAGACTATGGTCGATAATTCGTTTCAGTATTTACAGAGTCGATCAGATGAATCCAATAGTATGGTATGAATAAACCCTCTAACACTTTTCTTATATTCTATGTAGAAATTTTAGACGAAACTAGAGAAACTTTCGGCAGAAAATCATCATTCGTCCGAAATATCCAGGCCACGTATCCTCGATCGCAATAGATCGAACGAACAAGTCAAACTAATTGAACGTGTTCGAACAAATGCGGCCGACGAAAACGCGTGCAACACTAGCCACTTCCGCTTATTTTAAGGCGTTCCATGAGCTCGTCCAGTGCAACTGTAGCTACAGTACAGTATAATATAGTATAGTATAGTGGTATAACACTATACCACGTGTTTATTCCATTGCGACAAACGCAATGCAATAACTTTTTGCATTTTCAGTGTGTCAGTTTTTTTTCTTTTTTTATTATTTAACTTGTACTTTACAATTTATCCAGCTGGACATTTGATAAATTTGTCTAACTTAATTTTACTGTCACGTGCCGCTACAACTATTTCTTTTTAAGAAGAGCTATACTATTACTCGATACCTTTGTTAGACAAAATATTCATCCAGTTTTTTTTTTATTATTTAATTTATACTTTACAATTTGTGCAGCTGGTCATTTGGTAAATTTTTCTAACTTAATTGGTAAGTAACATGTGAATGGCTACCCCCAATGAGATACCATCTTCGAATTTGATTATTTTATTTCTTTAGTGAGGTGAGTGCTTGTTTGTTAGGTTATGTCCTTTGTGAGATCTGTTGAGTGTTTCCTTTTTAATCTTCTCTTTATGCTTGATGTGTCGACCGTTTCCGCTGCCAGCCGGTGTGACATCAATCACATCTCAACCTACATCAGTGATAAGACATCAACCGCCAACCTTCGGATACTTTTGGACACATCACCACCTTATCATCATAGCATACACCAAGGCCATATCATAGTCCACATCACAGATAGGATATGGATTACCAACCTTCAGACACTTTTCCACATCGTAACCTACACCTAGCCCCTCAACATCCTAAAACCAAAACGTATATAAACCGAGACTTCACCCAGTTCTTGTTCTTCTTCTAGTTGCTGTACTCATACAACCCCTTTTCTCCGGTTCGGTATTATTTTGTAAGTGTTAACATTTATAATAAAGTTTTATAAAGGAAAATTAGTAGTTGGGTTACGACTCGGCCTTCTTACTACAATCCAAGTACCAATTTTACATGACACCGGTTTGGGTGCGTTGCGTGTGTTAGTTAGAAGGAAAATCGTAAGAGCGTGCTACAGTCTCAGTGACTTCTTTCTATTTCTTGTAATTAAACGTTATTCGAAAGGTCATCTCTTTCGTATTCGATTCGGAAACGCTCGAAAGGTCGACCAGGCGAACGTTCTACGGGACTAAGATCTGCAGCATTGTTTGAAGAAATGACAAAGAAGAAGAAGTTCTCACCTCGATGTATCGCTTGCAAAGAGAAATTACTTTGGAAGCAAATGAAACCTAGGAAAGCTTTTATAAATATAGATTTCTTCACTTTTGCAATAGAGACACCTATATTTGAGTGTATTAGGTACAGTAGAAAAAAAATTAGAACACTTTGGATAATAGATCTACTCTTGTAGAATACTTTTTTTGGTTCCACCTTATATACTTTCCAGCCATTCACAGAGCCATATCGCGTAAAATAAAAAAAAGGAAATCGAAGATGAAAAGAAAAATAAAATATAAGAAAAATTATTTTTAAATACTTGATTTACACTAATTACGATTTGCTTCTGAACTCCAGTCGTGACTTTTCAAGACTGCAGCTCTTACAATTTGACTCTCGATCGGATCTGCTTCTTTTTTCTTTGTTACCCCTCAATATCCCCACTAACCACGCGTTTGTTAGACGTCCACGACCGTTGCTACGCACGCCTTCTTCTAGAACATTCGGCGGAAGGACCGTTGGGATATCGATGGCTCATTAGGCACTTCAGCGATATACATTGTCGTCGAGTGTGTGACATCAATCACATCTCAACCTACATCAGTGATAATACATCGACCCCCGACCTTCGGACACTTTTGGACACATCACCACCTTATCATCATAGCATACACCAAGGCCATATCATAGTCCACATCACAGATAGGATATGGATCACCAACCTTCAGACACTTTTCCACATCGTAACATACACCTAGCTTCTCAACATCCTAAAACCAAAACGTATATAAACCGAGACTTCACTCAGCTCGGGCAGTACTTGTTCTCGTTCTAGTTGCTGTTCTTCTACAACACCCCTTTCTCCGTTCAACGTTATCTTCTTCGTTCAACTTATCCATTTTACGTGACAAGTGCCGCCACACGTTTATCTCCGTCGCCAGTCCATCGGATTTGAAGTGTGCCGGTCGTGACAACACAGCCGCTTTTCATTTGTTGAGAATTGTGGATCGTAATCGCCGAAATAATTATGTAGAAACACTGTCATTACATGTAGAGATGATAATAAAATAGTTTTGTATTTATTTAATATATGATTTACAAGATGTTCACAGATACCTATTACACGGGTTTCAGCACTCTTCCAGTCTCACTTTTTACCATGCGTACCGAACAGCGACGTTCTTTTGTTCTACGACACGCTGCGCACGCATATGTCACACACATGCTCACACACATACTGACGTACATACTCAAACATATATGTGTATTACTAGCTCGCGGCTGATCCGGTATACCGCACAAAATTACATATATTTCAACACGTACAATTCTGCTAACTTCGTGGTACGTCGTAACATTGCGAACGTTTCTTCGCGAATGAGTATTTCTCTTTACCAAAGGCATCAATTAGAGTAATCAGAAAAATAAGCGCGTAGCGAAGTTAAATCGAATCCTTTAGCAAGTTTCTCGTTTTGAACGCGGTCTCGCGAATGAATTGTAACATTAACAATGCAAAGAGCGATTTAAAATGCATCTAAATGCATTTCAAATGGATATCGTGGCCAATCCGTCTTACTGCTTACTAAACTTTACCCATTGTGGAAATTTATTCGCAATTCTTGATACGATTATTCAACTTTTAACAATCACAATTATTCCACTGGGCATAAAAATTCTATTCGCATCAACCACCAGAAGCAGAACATCGTTACAGAACGCGCAAACTTTGATGATAGAATAATCACATTTGTCTTTTGATTTGCATATCGTGTAATGGTAAAACTTAAACAATGCTTCGTACGAATTTAAAAGTGTTTAATGAATTCAAACTACCCGCCAATCGATATTTTTTACTTTTGTTCTGCTTTATCGGCGGCTACTTGTTGAATAGAATAGTTCACGAGAGAAGAACGGTAATTTAGGGCTTAAAAAATCGATTCTCGATTTCGCAGATAATATTTGTAGTAGATTTGTTATTAACTGTTGTTGTATTTAATTTGATTATTCCCAAAATAATCTCGATTTTCCAGAATCGATCGTCTCGTTTAACCTAACAATTTACGTTATTACATATACAGGGTGGTTGATAACTGGTGGTACAAGCGGAAAGGGGGTGATTCTACGCGAAAAAAGAAGTCAAAAACATACAATAAAAATTTTTCGTTTGAGGCTTTGTTTTCGAGAAAATCGACTTTGAATTTTCGCTCGGTACGCGTGCACTTTATCACCTCTCGTTATAACGGATCTCACTGTAGATTTGTAAAAAAATTAAAAAAAATATTAAAAAAAAATTTTTATTGTACCACCAGTTACCAACCACCCTGTATATAATTATTATAATTCAAGGAGCACATATTACGGTGGAAGAAATTTTTTCAAATCAAATCAAAGTATTATATATGTCGGAGAAGCGTCAGAAATAGGATTGTGGGCATTTGATAAATCTTTATTGGAATTGGCCATCATTGTGGTATAACAAAGGTACGGTCTGCTAACACGAGTATGGATACTACCAATTCGACAATCAACCGCGGCGATTGAGCACTCGCGACACTAGTGATGTTGGTCTTAGGTTCGATAACGAATCCGCGGTCAACGGAATGATAGATATACTTACTCACAAAATCTAACTCACACGTATAATACTCACAGATCGTAAGGCGTTACTCTCTTCATCGATGAGATCGCAAGAAAGAATAACTTTTCGTCCCAATGGTGTCACCGAGGAAAACTATGATGGGGTGTGTCTAAGGACACGAGATC